GCACTCTCTTCAAAGCTTGGCTCCCAAAAACACACTGAGAATGTACAGACCACTGCATGGACCAATCAAATGCAGTCTTAGAGACACACCTTCCATTCACGACCTTGAACGTTTACATAAATCTAAGACAGCAGTAAAAAATAAGCAAAAAGTAGGTCATCATTTAGAACGAAGATTTACACACGTCAGCCTATTTTAGCGCCTGAAATTAGACAAAGTTAAAGAATAATTTGATCACATCGATAAACGTCAGAAGAATCACTTTTCCTAGATTTTCAGACGAAAGATTTGAAGAAAACAAGTTCAATTTTTCTCAGCTGGCTTTGGCCGATCAACAAGCGACTGAAAAGTTGACTAAAACCACTTGCTGTTGTACACTTCTTATCAACAGAAAAGAAAGGTAAAGGATACTTGGTGCTGATGATGCCGCTACTGTCCCTTGCGATCTCGTAAAGATTGATACGAATCCATTTCGTCCGACACGAAGAAGAGAGGTTGTGCGAGCTGCCATTTTGTTGTCTTTCCACGACGACGACGTAATAAATACTAAGGGACAGAACTCTAGTTGCCCCTTTTTGTACCTGAAGCGGGTAGCTTTTTTTTTTTTTTACATAACCGACTAATGCTGATTTTGTAACATTTAATACTATGTTATTATATATACCGGTATATGTATATATCTAGATCTGGAACTCTTAGTTGAGAATTGTACTTTTAAGTTGACGTAATGGGTGCTCAACTCACAGAAGAGAGAGAGAGAGAGAGAGAGAGAGAGAGAGAGAGAGAGAGAGAGAGAGAGAGAGAGAGAGGGGGGGGGGGGGGGGGTGACGAGTTGCTCTTTCTTCTAGCAGCAAGGGAATCTAATGTAAAGGCTATCAACAACATGCTTACTATTCACAAAACAAGAAAGCAGTAAATGCTATTTGTAATCTCATAAATAAGCTACGGTCAAAAGATCAAACAAGTTCAACAATTTAGATATCTTGGGTAGGCTATGAATGCATCTGAAATAATCTGATGCCAAATTAAGTTCCACATAAATGAAACGGAAAAGTGCAATGGTTGAAGATACATGTAGTTTTAGTAAAATGTGCCAAATCTTGTTTGTTTGAGTTTGTTTGGGTAGCCTAAAGAGAAGAACAATCATACCGGCACAAACATGATTATTTAGTGCTGGGAAAAAATAAGACAGACAGAGAAACAAAAGTGGGAATGTAAAGAAGTATATTACCAGTGCTACCCTCCAACAACCCGCAATAGCGTCAATAAAGAGAAAAAGAACAAAAAGATAATTATAAAAATAGATCTAATAACAGTGCTTTATAAATGCGCACGAGAAAGATCGGGTTACAGTGCCCC